CCCCCGCCCTCAGTCTCCCCGTGAACAACCCAAGGAGGCTGCATTAAGCGGCCTCTGCGATCTGCTGGCTCAGAAGTTCCCACCCAAGCTTCCTGCTGGGTCTCTGGCTCCTGCTTTGGGCTGGCTCACAGCGACCTCCAGAGACTCAGCACCCTGCCCCGGCCCCGGGCCCTGCTGCGGGAGACTCCACGCCAGGAGTGACGGAAAGCACGTGGCAGGCTTCCAGGTGTAGCTTCGAAGATGACTCCAAGCGACTCCATCTCAGCAGGCTCAAGAAATAGCCTTTCCGGCCTTGGCCCTCTCCGGGGGAGGACAAACACCGTCCCAGTCGGAAGCTATGGGCCTGTGAATCCCAAGCTTAAACATTCTGGGTGGAAATCACCAGCAGGGAAGAACGTGGTCAAAGAAAATACCTCCCTGCCCTGTCCTTTTTTTCTTCTGATTTTTGACACCGGTGCCTGTTGCATTGTCCTGACGCCATGGCCAGGCACCCACTGTCAGGCTTTGAAACCGAACTGGAATATTGTGACTCTGGAAGTCACCGGAGGCTGAGTCACCCAGGCTGGAGCCTGTGGCCTTTCTCAGTGTGCTTGGCAAAGACCAGAATTGGTTCCACGGTGTCACCACGGTTCCCAGCCCTGGCTGCACTTCGGACTCACACGGACAGCTGGAAACACCAAAGGTAAACATATGCCGATGCCTGTTCCCAGCCAGTGATACCAGAGTCCCTGGAAGTAAGGCTGGGGCATGGGTCGACGAGAGGTCGCCGTGGAGCTGCAGCCATACCCCTGGTGTGCAGAAGGCACATCGGCGGCCACCCCCAGGGGACTCCGTGTTAGGTGAAATGTGAGGACCTGGGACCTGGTCTGAGGAAGTAACTGCAAGGATGGAGAAAGCGCTGGGTCCAAAGAGGCGCACCTTTCAGCATCCTGTGGAGCGTGGCCGGGCCTCTCCTGGCCAAGCCGCCCACCGCTTGCTCATTGAGCAGAGTGAGATGCGGGCATGTTTAAAAGATGTTTACAAATGGTTAACTGATACCTGCAGTGATAAGCAACAATGAGCATATTGTGATTTTACTCTAAAAACTTAAGAGATGGCCGGGCTCAGGATCGCCAGAGCTTGTGGGTCGACGCTGGGATGGCTGTGAGCATGCCACTGCACTCCAGTCTGGGCGATGGAGTAAGACTCCGACTCAAAAAAAAAAGAAATTTAGGAGACCATAACAATATATTAGATGTAGGGGAAAAAACCCCAAAAAACTAGGAAGCAAAAAAGAAATCCTACTAGCATCCTAGCACACCAAGATGGTAGCACACCCACTAGCCATGCTTATGCCGGGATGTTAGGTCTTGAGAGGATGCCTCCCCTGAATTTCTGGATGCTTCCGAGTCTTCTGTGATGATTGAACATTGCATTTGTAGTGGGAAGGAAGGTAAAAAGTCAACAAACCATCAACCCGAATAGTGACGGGCACTCCTGTCCCCCGGGAGACCACCAGGCCTCCGGGGCCACCCGGCGGACACCTCCTCGTCCCCTCCTGTCCCATCACCGGGCTCAGCAGCCTGCCAGCCAGGGCATCCAAAGGCGCCCTCCCCGCCGCGCCCTTAGTGAGGGTCGCCCACACCCCCAGGGCCTGAGGTGGGGGAGCTCCAGCTGCTGAGGCCCAGAAGACCTCGGGCAGCAGGAAGGGACTGGCTCTTCACACCTGCGGCCTGTCTGGGACGCCGAGGCAAGGAGTGAGCGTCCTGGTGGTGGACACATCGGGCTCCCGCCCGGCCGCTGGTTTAGATAGGCTTTTCTTAGAAACCAGAGTCCCCTGGGGTCTGGCCACCCTGATCAGAGCCACCTGCCCCTTCACCCGGAGCTCGGCTGCCCTAGAGCCAACAGCCCCTCTGGGAGTGGCGCTGCTCCTGTCCCCCAGCCCAGGGGACACCAGCGTCTGGGTCTGTGGATCATCCTGAGGGCTCCCCCACCCGGCCACCCCTCCCCCAGCAGGCGCTGACCTCAGGGCGAGCCGGCCCTACCTGCTTGCCGCGCTTTCCTGGCCTTCCCGCAGGTCCCCGGTGTCCGGCCATCCCAGGTTCGCCCTTCGGACCCATCTCACCCTGGAGAGGAGAGAGAAGCGAGAGAGGAGTCAGGGTGGGGGCACGTCGGGGCAGCCTCACTGTCAGCCTCTCGAGCTCACAGCCCTCCCAGCTGGCTGCTGGGACGTGAGACAGGAGGTCTCGGCACAGCGGCCGAGGAGGAAGGTGAGGAGAGGGACAGCCAGGGGTCGTCCGCGGGCAGCACTCGCCTTGGTGGCCTCGGGGGCCAGGCAGATTCACTGCGGGAGACTGTGCGTCTTGGTCACGTGTGTGCCCGTAACCCCACACATGTGCCCATGACCCCGCACATGCCTGTGACCTCACGCGAGCCCATGACTCCATGCGAGCCCGTGGCCCTGCGTGAGACCATGACCCCACATGTGCCCGGGAGCCCGTGCGGTCTGGGAAAATCACTTTCTCTTTTTGTTGAAATTGTAGTTCTGCTTTCTCTGGTTCTTAGCAAACATTCACATCTGCGAGGTGCTGGACAGTCCCAGCAGCTGCGCTCCAGGAAGCTTCTGCTCCCTTGGCAACCCCCATTTGGGGCTGTGTGCTTGTCCCCGCTGCAGTAAACAAGGGCTGGGCTCCAGCTCACGTCCACCCGGTCTAGAGCAAGATGATTCACCGCGTTCGGACACTCAGCACCGCTGGCGGGCACGGGAGCCGGTGGCACCGCGCCCACTCGGGAGGCCCTGCGTGGAGCGTCGGGCCAGATGCGCCATGGCGGACCCTCCTCGTCCAAGGCCGGCCTCTCGCGGGACCCCGCTCTGTCTCGGCTTTTCATCCCCACATCTCCTAGGCCCCCGCCCGCAACTGCTTCTCAGCCAGGAGCCCCCAGGGCACGCAGCTATCTCCGTGGTCCCCGCACTGCCTGGGTGCACGTCAGCAAGAGGAGTCTCGCGACGGCACCCAGGGGCACTTCTGCCAGTCGGCCACCGGCACCAAGGAGGGCCACTCAGAGCCACAGACGTGGGGCCGGGGGGCGCCGCAGGACGCAACACTCCCGGACACCAGGGCACGTGGCTCCGAAGTCGTCTGCAGCACAGCCAGTGTCGGTGGCCCTGTCCAAGCTGCCATGTCCCGGTTGCCCAAGGACCATCCTGAAAGTCATGGCTTCCTTCCGACCCACGTGTCCTTCAGCGTTCCAGGCAGTTCCAGAATGCGAGAGGTCCGGGTGGATGCTGCAGGGCCAGAGGCGTCTGCATCGCTCTCCCTGGCTGTTTAGAGGGGTCAGATGTCTCGTCTGGCTGGGAGGACGTGGCCGCCCAGGCAAGAGGCGGCCAGGAGGCAGCATGGCCTCCCTACTCAGCGGGAAGCAGCCAGTCATCTCCCGATCTGATTTCTCTCTCCAGACCTGACAATGGTGAGCATATCGCTCCGAGTTACGTGGCCCGCCAGGCGCGGGAGGAGCCCTTTGGATGGTGGGTCCGTGGACGGGGGCCCTGGGAGTCGTCATACCGGAGGTGACAGTGACGCAGGATTCTTTGATGCTCACTGCTGCTCGGAATGAAAACCAGCCTAAATATCTTAAAATAAAATTATTCTTTCTCTCCTAACGTTTCCTCTAATTTGCATGTATATTACTTTGTTTTTTCTATTTTGAGCCAGGCCTCACTGTTACCCAGGTTGGAGTGCAGGACACGGTCACGACTCATCACAGCCTCAACCCCCTGGGCTCAGGTGACCCTCCTGCCTCAGCCTCCTGAGAAGCTGGGACTCCAGGGGCGCGCCACCACACCTGACTGATCTTTGTATTTTTTGTTGAGACGGTGTCTCACTCTGTGGCTCAGGCTAGTCTAGAACCCCTGGGCTCAAGGGGTCCCCTGCCTCGGTCCCCCAAGGTGCTGGCATTTCAGGCATGAACCACCATGCCTGGCCCTCTTGCAATTTACCGAATATTTTTTCCTTTACGTTACCTGAAACAGACATCTACTAAACATTTGGCTAGTTAGGTAAAACATTAAATTATCACGTATGATGTTTTGCTGTCATCCGGCTCAAAATCTGTCCCCGCGCTGGGAGGACCACGTGCGAGCCCAGTCACAGGGGCGTGGAGTCGGGGTGCCTGGGCCTCGCCAGGGCCTGGAGACAGCGGCCTTGACGCGGGCCGCGCAGACCCGGGTCTCAGCTCAGCTCCGCCTGTGACAGGACCGCAGCCCTCCACAGGGTTGGGTCTGGAGCGTGAGGAAGGGGGCCCACCCACATGGCTCCTGCTCTCCTGTGGAGCTGGAGGGTGTCCCAGGTCTCCTGCCGCCCCCTCCTGCCATTGGGCAGCATGCTCCCCACCCGGGCTGCCCATGGCCCGGCCACAGTCCTGCCCGGGGCGGAGGTGGAGGCGCGGAGGGGGGATGGGGCGAGGCAGAACTCCACCGGGCCTGTATCCACGGCCACGGGTGCCTACCTTCTGCCCCAGCATTCCAGGAAGTCCCGGGAAGCCCTGTGGAAAGAGACAGACACCATGGCCCCTCGGAAGTGCCCCTGAGGGCTGGGGATGGTGCCTGGTTTCTGCGGCATGGCCGTTACCTTTTCTCCTTTGGGACCCAAGTCGCCCCTGTCGCCTCTGGAGCCCTGGGAGGAAGCCACAGGAGAGGGTTCGGGGTCACCACGGGCAGTCACAGCATTTCTGACCAAAAGCTGCCTGTGCCACAGCTGCGTTTTGCAGGCGAGAAACAGGCTTGGGCCCGAGGGACCTGCCCGGGGAGGAAGGCTGTGACCAGCTTCCAACTGCACCTCGGAGACCTCTGCATCCACAGCGCACAGAAAATCAGGGGCCCAGACCCTCTTTCGCTGGAAGAGTCTGTCCCTGGGTCCCTGCTGGTTTCGCTTTGTTCTGTGTTTCGTTTCTCGGGCAGACACGGCCCACTGCCACGTCCCCCCAGGACTCCGTACAAACAGTGCTCACTCTCGACCTGGCGTGGGCTTCGCCTGGTTGCGGGCTGCATGGGAGGGGCCTCTGCCTTCACGGGCACCCCCACCTGCTTTCCCCGGGGGGCCCCACGCCTCTCAGCCCCCGACAGGCCCGGGACAGCGAGGGAGTCTCTGTGGGACATCGCCGACTTCAGAACGCGAGGCCCACGCCAGCCCCAGACACCGGCCCAGACCAGCACTCACCTTTTCCCCTCTGGATCCGGGGTAGCCCTGGAAGAAAGCAGAAGGCGTTGCAAGCAGCCTGTGAGGCTCTGGGCTGGGCGACAGTGGAAGAGCCCCGGGCGGGGCCCGCAGGGACTGGTGGGGGCCAGCAGGAAGCCCCGAGACGTCCCGCTCGGCTGTGTTTGCACCAGGCCTAGGGGACGTCGCTTTTCTCGCCCACGAAGACCTGATCAGAAGTTCCCATCGGCTCCACTGCCCAGAACAGCAAGGGATGCCCATGTCCCTGTGTCTCAGGTGTGTCCCCCAGAGGGCCAGACGAGGCCAGCACCCTGGCCCCCGGCTCCGGTGTTGGCCACCTTCTGGGGCCCAGGACAGCAGCCCTGCCCATCGCCCGAGGAGGCCTGGAATGCCATGTGGACCCCACACTCACCTTGGAGCCCACAGGTCCTCTCGCCCCGGGCAAGCCCGTCACACCCAGGTCGCCCTTCTCGCCCTGTGGGATCAGAAGAAGGGAAACATGGCCCACAGTGACCAGTGATTCTCGGAGGCCCTGAGTCCCCAGGCCAGACGGGGGCTGGTTTGTGGGTCTGAGCTCCCTTCCGGGGTCCCAAGGCCCACCCTCGTGCCTGTCTCATACTTCAGATGAAATATAGAATGAAGTCGGGCTCGGTGGCTCAGCCTGCCATCCCGCGCCTTGGGAGGCTGAGGTGAGTGGATGGTCTGAGCCTGCGGGTTCGAGACCCGCCAGGGCAACTTGGCAAGACCTCGTCTCTACAATAAATCAAAAATTAGCCGGGCGTGGTAGCACACGCCTGTAGTTCCAGTTCTCGGAAGGCTGAGGCGGAAGGATCGCCGGAGCCCAGCAGGTCGAGGCTGCGGTGGCCGGGAGCGGCCACTGCACCCCATTCTGGGCGACAGAGTGAGACTCCAACTCAAAAGAAAAAAAAGAAAGAAATATAGAACGAAAACACCCAAGACGGAGCCAACCCCAAACTAAACGCTCGCTAGGACGCTGTGAGTGGTGACAGGAGGATGGCGAGAGGGTGGGGGACGAGTGGACTGGCTCGAGGACAAGGGTCCGCACACGGAAACCTGGCTTGCTCTGCTCTCTGCATGGGGCGCCTACACAAACCCCTGCAGATGGCAGGAACCCGGAGGGACCCCTCTGCGCCACGACTTCATTCTAAGAAGTCCGTTAAGAGTAAAACTAGACAGAAATTAATTTCAACATTGGACTTCATTTGCTCCAATTACCCTCTCAACATGTACTCAGCAGCAAAATCGGTGAGACAGTTGGCATTGTGGTTTTGACCATGGTGCTTGGAATCTGCTCTGTGTTTTACACGGAAAGCGATCTCAACTCAGCCGCTTCATTTTCGTCCAAAATCCTCCATCCGTATTTCATAGAATGTGCAGTTGAAAAAACCGCTTCACACGCTCAAGTTGCGCTGAACACTGGGATGTTTTCAAATGACTCACGTGACCACAGCCCAAGGGCTCTAGAGCCCCGTGTGTCCGTGGCTGCCATGCTGGCTGGCGCAGCTCACCTCCACGGGGCTTCTTCTGCCAGTGTGTGTCCTCCTGGTGGGTGGTGGCCCCACCTCCCGGCCCTGACCTCCACAGGGACATTGAGTCCCAGTGCCCTCGGTGACCGGGACCATGGTGGGAAGGGTGTGCCCGGAGCCACGGGGTGGGCCTGCGCCCCATACTGACTGGGAAAGGGGCTCTCACCAGCTCCCTGCCAGCCCTCAAGGTGGGATCTCCGGCCGTCAGCTAGCCCACAGCACCCCGACCCTACCCCTGCCAGATACAGGCCTTCCTGGTCATCTCAGGGAAACTGAGGAACCGGCGCTCACTCTTGGGCCAAAGGGGAGCCCGGGCCCTGTGGGGGAGGTGCAGCCCCCATGCCTCCTCCCACAGGAGCAGGGCTGCTGTCCTGGTCTGGGCCTTGCGGTCTAAATGAAGGAGGAGCGTCTGGGGCCCGGGGACGGCCGTGAGCGCTCCCCTCCCGCGGTGACTCCCCGACTGCCAGTCAGGCCCGGAGTGACCCTCTGCCCCCTTGCTCTGGCACCGCTTGACCCCCAAGAGCACACCGCACTTACCCTGGGTCCTTCGGGGCCTGGCCAGCCGACGGGCCCGGGAAGGCCAGGAGCACCTGTGGGGCCGGGTCTGCCCTTCAAAGACCAAAAACCACAGTCAGGACGGCCACACTCCTTTCCCTACTTCCAGGAGATAAGGTCTGTCTCAGGCTCGGAGGCAGAGGGTCCTCTAGGTCCAGCCCCGGGACCCTCACCCCAGCTCCAACGACTGAGGCCTGAAAGTCGGGCCACTCAGGTCCCAGTTCAAGCCCTCAGTGTCACGTTGCGTCATCAAACAAGACCGCACTCTGCTCAAGGACTGGGGTGGTGTATGTATGACTTTTCAAAGTGGAATTACGGCAGCAGGCCGGGCTCAGTGGCTCAGCCTGTCACCCCAGCACTTTGGGAGGCCGAGATGAGTGATGGCCTGAGCCCATGGGTTCAAGACCAGCCTGGGCACTTGGCGAACCCTTGTCGCTACAATAAATCAAAAATTAACTGGTTGCGGTAGCGCACGCCTGTAGTTCCAGCTCCTTGGAAGGCTGAGGCGAAAGGCTCGCTGGAACCCAGCAGGTCGACGCAGGGGTGGTCGTGAGTGTGCCACGGCACCCCAGCCTGGGCAATGGAGTGAGACTCCAACTTAAAAAAAGAAAAAAATTATGGCAGCCATGTGTCGTATGACGTTCACGCAATCGTGCTTCTGCCATTTTCTTTGACGGTCCTGCCTGTCACATGGGGACGCTAGCATTCGTTGAATTGACGTCATCTTTTGACCAAACATCATACTTAAAATGTGTATACTTTTTTTGGCACCCCCGTGTCTATATATTTACATTAGAGACGGGGTCTTGCTATGTTGCCCAGGCTGGTCTTGAACTCTTGGCTTCAACGATCCCCCAGCCCCGCTCCAGATCTTTCTCCCTGCTCAGAGCCCATCCCCAGAGGCTGCCTTCCTGCGGCTAAACTCCTCCCTGAAACCTGCAGCTGGGGGTCTGCCCTGGGCGGGCAGCTCACGCCGCCCTTCCTGCGGCCACAGCCCAGCTCCCTCAACTCGGGAGGACAAGTGCAGACGGTGTGCCAGCTCCACCCCGGCCCGGCTTCCCACTCCCCTGCGGGCTCCTCCTGCGAGGGCGCCCGGTCCTGTCTTCACGAGCCTGGGCCGTGGAAGGGCGGGCGCCGCAGGAGCAGGGCTGGCTCCACCTTGATCCCCAACGCCCTGGCCGATTTCACAGTCGGCTCCTGGATGCCACACTGGTGGGCCGTGGTTGCTGCCCTTGCCTGCCACGTCCACGGCCCACGTCCACGGCCCGTGGCCCTAGTGGGGTCTGCGTGGGGGCCACCCAGAATCTCCGCTGGGCAGCCTTCTGGCAGCCGCCGTGCGCCAGAGCCCTCTCTGGCGCCCTCGGGGGCGGCTTTGCCTTGCACGGGCCCCCTTCAGGTTCTTGTCCGCGGCAAGGCCGTTTGAATACAGCCCTGAACAAGCGGTACAGCCGTGGACTCCGAGAACCAGGCACTTTCCTGGTCTGAGTTCGCCCCCATCCGCAGGACCGTGGGACCCAGCACCAGGGCCCATCCACCCCGCGAGCACAGCAGGCCCCGGGTCCTCCCTGACACCCGCAGAGCCTTGGGTCGCGCGTTTGGCTCGCTTGGCGCCACGAGACCTTCAGTGACCCCTGTTCGCCTCGCAGAGCTGGGCCCCGTGCTCCCCACTGCTCTGCTGCTCCGTCCCACGCCAAGGGACAGGGTGCGTCACGTGTCGCTGCGGGCTGGGCCGGGCTGGGGCCGGGAGGGGGGCCGGGCTGGAGCCCTCGGAAGTCTGAGCTTGTGGTAGGAGCGGGCACCAGCCCTGGCCAGCGGGGTGGGCAGGAAGGGCAGGGTCACCACTGTCTCCCCAGGGTGGCATCCACTGTCCCTGGGTGAGGTGGCGGCTGGGGTGCCCACACACACCACACGTAGCATGGCGGCAGCGTGCCGCAGACATACCTTCCTTCCGGGTCGGCCAAGCTCCCCCTGTGGAGGGAGAAGACTGTGAGAAGCAGCCCTCTGGAAGAAGACCCTCGGCAGCCCCCTGGAAAGCCCTCAGCAGCACCCCAGAAAGCCCTTGGCAGCCCCCAGGAGACCCCCCTTGCCAGGGAGAGCAGTAAGCAGTGGCGGTCTTACCTTTTCTCCCTTGGGTCCTGTCTTGCCAGGAAGCCCAGGTGGACCCTGCACAGCCAAGATAAGGGATGAGGAGTGTGTCAGATCAGGAGGGACAGTAGGGTCCGAGGTGTTGGCCTCAGGGACCCCGGGCCCTTGTGCCTCCAGCCAGGACCTCCTCAGGTCCCTCGCCCAGGTCTCTGGGCCGTCCCTGGGACTCCGTGGCTGCAGGGCTGCACACCCGCCTGACGGTGACGGTCCCCTGGACTCTGGTCGCCGGGCGTTGGGGCTCGGGGAGAGTGGCTGAGGAGCCGTGAGGAGGCCTGCTCGCTGGAGACCCCCGCCCGCCTGGCAACTGCTCCTCCCACCGAGCGGCCACCGAGGGGACAGCTCTACGCCTGCAGCCGCCGCCTCAAACCCCACAGAGGGTCGTGGGTGCCAGGGCCACCCTCTGCCCTCTGTCCTCGGCGGGAAGAGCCTTTGTCAGGACATTAAGGGCGTGGCCAGGCAAACGGTGCATTTTGTCCCGTGGAGTGAGCTGGCCCAGCTTGGGGCCAGAACCCACCGCCCCAAGCCTGCACGCCCACAGCCAGCGGAGCCCTTCTCGGCCTGTGTACCTCCAAGGCGCTCGGCTAGCCTTCTCCAGGTTCTCAGAGCAGCAGGGCAGAGGGTCCCACCAAAAGCCCCGGCCTGCTGCCCGGCCCCCCTGCGGTCCTCCAGGCTGCAGCCGTCTCAGGCATGAGCGCCACGACCCTTGCCCAGCGACAGCAGCCTCCGCACCAGGCCTTCCCAGGCCTGAGCACATTGCAGTCCCCCGGGGAGCTCTGAAACCCGAAACCCAGGCCCTACCCAGACCCGCGAGAGGGCCATCTTGCTGGGGCGCCAGGGGCAGGGGCAACGAGTGCAGCTCTCAGGGCAGTCATGAGCAGACCCTCCGGCCCCCCCCCCACGTCGTTCACATCGTGCCCCCAGGCCCTGGGGGAGCGCTGCCCAGTCAGAGTGCGGATCCTGGGTGGGTCTGCCGGTGGGGACGAGACTCTGGGTCTGTAGCGCCCAGCTGGTGCCACGTCCTGGTGGCGGGTCTGGCTGAGCATGGCCAGCGGCCACCCCACGTCCTACAGGGCACGGGGGACCACACAGCCCCTGCCAGGGGCAGCGGGGCCTCGGTGGGCCCCAGACGGGTGTGGCCGGAGAGCCGCGGTCCCTGCCCTCCCAGGTCCACAGGCTCTCGGGCCGGCCTGGCGGTGGACGGCTGGAGGGGACGGAGCAGCCACAAGAGTCCTGCCATGCCCTCCACTGCCCTCACGGCTCCAACTCGGGCTATGTCTTTTCTGCACCCAACAGGGATGCGGGCAGCCCTGCGCCGGGGGCCTGGGGACCGACAGACCCTAGGCACGTCAGCAAACGGTTGTGGGTTTGGGGCAGCATTGCACCCTGTCTCACGGGGACACCAGAGGGACCAGGGACGGGAACAAGCAGGATAAGGCAGCAGGCTGAAGAGGCCCCACAGACACGAAGAAGGCGCTTGTGCTGGAGACGGGGATGGGGAGGAGGTGGAGTCTACTCAAGCCCCACGGGTGGGGGAGGCGTTTCTGGGCCAACGGAGTCCCGCGGAGGAGAGGTGCTGCCCGGGACTCACGCAAGAGGGGCGGGCATCGGAGGAGGTGGGGCCCTGGGCTGAGGCCAGGGTGGAGTGTCCCGGGCCGAGAGACGGCCGCTCAGCCGGGGTGGGGAGCGGGTGAGCGGCCAAGGAGACGCAGCCCAGGTCCTCTCCCATGGGCTCTGCGATCGAAGAGGGAGGCGGCTCTGGCCAGTGGCTGCAGCCCCAGAAGGCTGAACAGAGTGAGGGACATGGCGCCCACGTCCTCTGCCGGGGGAGGTGCAGGGTGACTGCTCCGACGCCCTCTTCCTCCCACCACGGAGGGCCAGAGGCCTGGCCAGGGGAGTCTGGCCAGGGGTGATGGCGGACAGGAAGAGGAGCCCCGCATGTGGATGGGGTCTCAGGGTGGGAAGAACTTGTTGATGACGTCTTGGGGGGTACAGAGCCGGTCTCGGGGCATCCTTGTTCGCCTAGACATCCCTCCAGTACCCTGTCTGCTCCTCCTGTTGTCAGCTCTGGGGAGGAGGGCTGGCTGCTTGGAGCAGCGTCTGGGGCCCTTGGAACTCAGGGTCACCTCCCTGCCCTGCAGGCAGGACCCTCTGGGTCCTCAGTGGGTCTGGGGCCAGATGGGGACACCATCGTTGAGTGTTTGTCTGGTGGAACTATAATAACCATACCCAGCCGGGCTCAGTGGCTCAGCCTGTAATCCCGCACTTTGAGAGGCTGAGGTATGTGAATTGCCTGAGCCTGTGGGTTCGAGACCCGCCTGGGCAACTTAGCGAGACCTCATCTCTACAATAAATAAAAAAATCAGCCAGGCGTGGTAGCGCGTGCCTGTAATTCCGGCTACTCGGAAGGCTGAGGCGGAAGGATCGCTGGAGCCCGGCAGGTCGAGGCTGCGGTGGCCGAGAGCGGCCACTGCACTCCAGTCTGGGCGACAGAGTGAGACTCCAACTCAAAAAATAAATAAATAACCACACCCACACAGGCGATATCCCATGCGATCCCAAAGCCAGTACAGTGGGGGCAATTATTACCCTGTTGCTCGCATGAGGAAATCAAGGCTGGGGGCCAGAACCCATCGAGAGGACAGCCAGCATTCTGTCCACGTGGCTCTGAGGTGGGGGTGACCGGGAGAGAAATCAGCCCGGGGCCAGTGGGAAGGGCCAACACCAGGGGGCTCTGAGGGGCGAGAGGGTTGGGAGGGCCACCCACCTGGGGGCCGGGAGGCCCGGGGGAGCCGAGCGATCCCTGCACGCACGGGGACTGGGAGGTCTCCAGGTCCAGGATGAGGTGCTTCAAGTCTGGGGAGAGAAGCTTCGGCACAGACAGCACAGGTTAGAGCCCGGGCTGGGCAGGGGAGCGGCCGACCCCACTGCTGTGGCCAGTGCCGGGCTGGTGGCTCTGGGACACCGTGAGTGTCCCGCGCGGTTGCTGCGTCTCATCTGCTTGGAGACGTGCCTGCCGGAAGGGGTTCCAGCCACGCCTGGAGCTCGCCAGGGTAGCGCTAGGGGGCTCATCCCAGGAGCCTGCACCCCAGGGCAGCACAGCCTGGCCATCCAGGAGACCATGGGGCGCGGGCAGGCCTCCCAGGAAAGACTCAGCTGTGGGAAGGAGGTGGCCTGGGGCGACCCGGGAGCACGCTGTCCCCACCAGGGCCCTGGCACTCACCAGGCTCCGGCCCCCTCTGCGGAGCGGGGGTGGCAAGAGCGGGGGCGGGGGCGGCGTCGGCAGGCAGCGTGCCCGGGCGGAGCCTCGCTTCCTCGGGTCCAGGCCAGGCAGGGCTGTCCAGAGAGAGCGGCCCGCTCATCAGTGTGGGGTCGTGCTGGGCCCAGGGGACGCCGCAGCCACCCCGGCCTCTGAGCCTCCTTTCCAGCCTGCTTGCTGTGAGTGGAGCCCCTGTGTGCCTGGACACGGTGCGCCCCGGCCTTTGCTGCGTGGAGACGGGTGATGGACACGGACGGTGCTGACACCGTGACACGTCAGGTCCCCTTTCCCCTTCAGATCCCGAGGGCCACCCTGTAGATGTGGCCAGGGTACAGAGTTCGACAGACGCGCAGGGCACCCAGCACTGGGGAGAAGGAAACGTCTGGTAACCCGGATGCTGGGTGGGGCGCAGCACAGAACTCGTGGGTTCTTTGGCTCAACCCTAAAAGGTTTCGGAGTGGCCAGCAACATTATTTTGGTTTTTGTTTGGTTTGTTTGTTTTGAGTTGGAGTCTCACTCCGTCGCCCAGGCTGGAGTGCAGTGGCACACTCACGGCCACCCCGCTGTCAACCCGCTGGACTCCGGCAATCCTTCCGCCTCAGCCTTTCAAGTAGTCAGAACTGCAGATGCATGCTACCATGCCTGGCTAGTTTTTGATTTACGGTAGAGATGAGGTCTTGCCAAGTTGCCCGGGCTGGTCTCGAACCTGTGGACTCAGGCAATCCGCTCGCCTCGGCCTCCCAAAGCGCTGGGATGACAGGCTGAGCCACTAAGCTTGGCCCAGAAATGTTTTAAAACAAAGTCTAATAGAGAAAGAAGAGGGGAAGGAGAGACATGCCAGAGCGGCATGGGCGAGAGAAACTGCATGTGTTACTTTTGATCAAAGGTCTGACAGACTTCCATGCTGACCGATGTGCCTGGTGGCAGCCCTCTCGGAGAGCCTGACATCCCTCCGCCTCTGCTGGGAGGAACGGGCGGTCTTCCGATCATTTCCCTGGCCTTTGGATTCCCTGTCTGGGAACTGCCTTGATGGCGTTTTCCTCTGGCGGGCTGAGGGCGTGGGGTGGGCTTGGAGTCCAGACTGAGTGCACCTTCCAGCCTGCAGGGTCACAGCACACCCAGTCCGTGACTCGGCTGCGCGACGCACTCCAGACTGGACACGCACCCATCTCTCTAGCGTCCCGGGGGCGTCTCCGAGGATGACCCGAGTGTGAGGAGGTGGCGGGGACCTGGGGTGCCACAGCTTTGTGTTCACCGGGGTCTCTCCCGGCCTCCGCGACTGTGTGTGCCCAGGGCTGGGGGACGCCCACGAAGAGTCTCACCCCCCGAGTCCCAGCCCTGGGGACATCCACAGAGTGAGCGGCTCTAGAGACCGGCCCCGGACCAGGCAACAGCCCCCAGGACCCTGAGGCTGGTGAACTGACCCCTCTGCGACCCTGCCCCAAGTGGGACACCAGAGAATCCTGCCTCATTCTACAAGCCCGTGGCTGGCTTCTCCCACCAGAGTCCTGCCTCACCCAGAGCCTTACGAGGGCATTGTGCTCAAGTTCATGGCTGGCTTCTCCTGCGTAACTAGCGTTTGACGGAGTCACCCGCAGCTGTGGTCGTGGCTGCTGAAGAGGGTTCTGCTAGTGACCATGTCACCGTCTATGTGTCCCCTATGCTGGACACTGCAGATGTGCACCGGGCAGAAGCCACCATACACTGAGCAGAGAGACCACGTGAAGAGGACAGAAAGGAATGTGGCGAGGACATCCTGAGCAGCCTCCGTGGGGGACAACCTGCGCCTGGCGTCTCCCTTGGAAGGTGGATGGGCATGCAGGTGCCCGCAAGCTCACTCCTAGGCGGTCACCGTCAGAGGAGCGGGAGGATGGTCACCAGGACACTGGGTTAGGTGTTCAGAGGATGCACAGTTGCCCACAGTGGGACCACTGATGTCACGATGGCCTCAGCCCTTCCAGGGTCCGTGTCCCTCTGCTGGTGATCAGCCTTCGAGGCCCTGGGTTTCTTTTTGCGAGAAATATTCCAAGCCCCTTTATATACTGAAATGCAATCCCTGAATTTCACAGCACGCCGACACACAGCCTAAAAGGATCCCTTCGTGTTCTGAGCAGGCTGACAGAGGGCTAGGAAGGAGGCCGTGGTTGGTGCACGACGCCAAAGCACGCTTCCTGTGGGCGTGGCCAGGCGAAACTGCAGCGGAACACACAAGCCGCAGGTGCACCCGTGTGCCATCACCGCGAACACACACAGGCCGTGGGACAGCCCTTCAGGGGTCTTAGCAGACCTGCGGGGCTGTTGTCAGCGCTGCAGAGGCTGTGGGAGCGTCCCCAGCAGGGTGAGGCCGACCTTCCAACCAGGCCAAGGACAGGGCAGAAGCAGGAAGGATCGAGGTCAAAGTCTGGTGGGGAGGGGCTCCTCAAAGCACAGTGGTTGGGGAAGGGGCCGGGGAGGGCGGGAAGGAGAGTCTGGGGCCGGGCGGAGAGGGTGCGCGTTGGCTGCCCCTGCAGCAGGTGGAGAGGAAGAAAGGGCAGGTCAGGGGGTGCCGAGAGCACACGGCAGGGAAGGAGGGGTGGGGAGCTTGGCAGCGGAGCCTGCGCGGCCCAGGCAGGGTTGACACTCCGGGGGGCAGAAAGACGCCCGATGGCGGTGAGGAGGTGAGGACGGCAAAGCTGGCAGAGCTCGGCGGCCCTACCGCCCACCCCGCTCTCCGCCCCCACACGCAGCCGGGCCCTGGACATGCTTCCTTATCCACCGCTCAGGGGCTACTTCTACAGGGAAGCCCCCCTGGACTTCCCAGGCCAAGGACGATGGGCCCTGCTGGGTTTGTTTTCATGGGAGAACGGCTTCCCTGTCTCTACCCTCCTGGGGCGCAGGAGCCAGGTTGTGTCCCCAGGGCCCAGCATGCCTCCGGTATACAGTAGGCGCTCCCCAGACAGAGCCCCCATCAGGGACTGGAAACACACCTGCACAGAGCCGGGGCAGGTCTCAGGACTCACTGCATGGAGGGAGGGCACACCGGGTGCTGGGAGGGCCGGCTGAAGGACAAGGGCCCTGCTGGGCAGCGTGGGGAGACAGGAAGAGGCTTCTGCCTGTGCCCTGGTCCGAAGCCGCCAGGAATGGGGTTCACCCAGGACTCCCTCCAGGAGAGAACGAGCCCCACTCAAACTGCAGCCACCAAGCCATGTGGCGCTCTGACATGAGCCGTGCAGGATGGCCTGGCGACGTGTGGCCGGCCGGGTCTCATTCTGCCTGTGTTCAGTCATGACTGGGGAGTGGCCCTTGCTGGTCTCGGCCCACTGGGGCGCCGGTGCCCCGACTGAAAGTGGCATGGCAGGCTGTCTCTGCCCGGGGCAGGGTGGG